TTGGCTATGTGAGAATCCAGTATCTTAAGCACTATGCCACCTGCTGGCCTCAACAGTAACTTTTTTTTTTTTTGGTGAGGTTTTTGCTATAGTGTGCATGCTCTTGCCTGAAAAACAGAGAAAGATAGAGAGACATAAAGGGAGAAATCACACCCCCCCAGGGGGGATGGCTACACCGCAATCCCTTCTCCATTCTCCTCTTGGGATCTTGGGCACGCACACACACACACACACACACACACACACAAGCGCGCGCGCACGCACATGCCAGGCATGAGTTTAAGTCATCAGGTCCGGGATTCGAACTGCAATCCAGGAGTCCAGAGACATAGCCATTACACCAAATGCTGGTCCCGATAGTAACAAATCGGGACCCACTGATTAAAACCAGGATCTATGGGTTAACTTATGTAAACAAATTAACACATGAATAATGGTGGAGGTAGACAGTGTTTTTTTAAAAAAAATATTTATTTTATTTTATTTATTTATTTCTTCTTCTTCAATTTGACCAGAAGACAGAGAAAGAAAGAGAGAAAGTAAGCAACCAGGTCTGGGACTTGAACCATGGTCAGCCATGTGAGAATCCGGCATCTTAACCACTAGCCACCTGCCAAGCCCAAAAGCCTTTCATTATAGTCAATAAATAGAATGTCAACCAGTAAATGTAGAAGAAATACTAACTATAAGCTGAACAGTTGGGAAGTGTGTTCATTGGTTTGGATAAGAATCATCAGTGAATGCTAACTCTGTAGGTAATGTTTGTTGAAGAACAAGATATTTACATTGTCCCAAATTACCATCCCCTATTAATTTATAAAGGGAAAAATGTTAGGGACTGAACTCAGGCCACTTCTCTTTATTCTGAAGTTTCTTCCTCCCCCCCCCTAAATTTTTTTCCTAAGAGTCCTGCCCACACATTATTTTTCTTTCTTTCTTTCTTTCTTTCTTTCTTTCTTTCTTTCTTTCTTTCTTTCTTTCTTTCTTTCTTTCTTTCTTTCTTTCTT